TCCTGGCTCTGCAAAAACTGAAGCCAGGGGACTTGTTCCTCAAGACCCCTGGGCCTCAGACGCCCCCTGGGACTCACCGAGGATGCTCAGGTTGCATTGTCAGAGGTCATATGATACTCATGCTTATCATGGCAAAATACACATCACCTGAGACTTACCATGTTAATCATGGCTAAGTAAACACACACGTGGTGTGGCGAGGCCATCACCACCACCCACCTGCAAAACAATGAATCTTGTGCCCACCAAACCATAACTTCCATCTCCTGTCAATCCCCAGGCTCCTGTCTGCCTGTATGACTTCGACACTGTAGGAACCTCGGGTCTTCGGACTCAGTTGATAGCTGTCTTTGTCACTGGAGCTTTCTCTCAGCATGATGCCCTCAAGGTTCACCCAAACTGAGCTCCCTACCCCTGACGGCCGCTTCCCAGTGTTCTCTACAGGAGAGAAAGAACCTTCACCTCATTTTCCTCTTCCAGGAGAGTGAGGCCAGGGAAGAGCAATGTCTTGCCCAAGGATAAGAAGGCTCAAGAGAGCAAGGAGGATGAGCTCTCCAGCTCCCTGCTCCCAGCGCTGGCACGTAGAGCAGAGGGGGTGTCTGGGAATGTGGAGAATCCCACATGGACCCCGTGACCTTGATGGCGACTCTTCACCTTCACTGCTTCAGCTTCCTCTTCACCTTCACTGCTTCAGCTTCCCCTTTGCCCAAATGCATATAATAAAAACTGACTTTCCTTCTTCAAAGTGTGTGTAATAGTCAAATGTGTTTTTTTGTGCCTTGAAAAATATCATGAAGCATGGTCACAAAGTACAGCTGTGGATCCAGAGTTTGCTAAATCCTAACAGCGTCTCATCATAGTCTTGTCATCACAGCAGAAGATCGAAAACAGCAGTGGTCAGGAGACCGTGGGGGTCAAGGCAAATGCTTGGGAGCTGACAGCATCTAGTGACAGAGACTGTACATGGGGGATCGCAGCCTGTGCCAGCACAGTCACTGAGACCTGCCATTTCTTTTTTAAAAAATAAACATCAAAGTTCACTTCTGTGCCAGGCACTGTACCAGCTTTGGGGAAACAGATAGACAAAGTCCTGACTTCATTGAGCTTGCACCCTCGAGACAGGCTCTAAATAGTCAACAAACAGAGGTTTACAAATTGAGGTCTAGCCTAAGAAAGCACAGAACAGAGCACTCTGGAAGAGCAGAACCGGAGCCCTGTGGGGCGGCCTTCTGTGGAGTGGAGGTGGAGAAAAGGCCAGTCGGTGTCACTGGAGTTGGGTGAGTGAGCCAGAGTGCCTAACAGCCCTGTGTCATTACACGCCACATAGAACTGCTCCCTATTGCCAGGTCACCTGTCCCAATGGTGCCGTGGTGCACGCTCTCATGAGAGCCCCTTCAGCGCGGATGCTGCTCTCGCTGTATGAGCCCCAGGCGAGTCACATGCAGAGCAGTCTAGTCAGTAGGTGCTGCTGCTTTTTTTTTTTTAAAGATTTATTTATTTATGCATACACAACTGGGGTACAGGCCAGAGGTGCAGGAGTGGCGAGAGGCTTCACCAGAGACAGAGTGGGGAGCAGGACAGGCAGATCGAGGAAGTACACTGCTGAGGGGAGCAGTGGGCGGGTCAGGAGAGGTCTGCCACGCCATGTGGTCTCCTCCAGGGCAGGCGGGAATCGAACTCATGTGGAAGTGGCTTTAGCTTCTCAGTGCTGTGCTTTAACCCACTGCGCCACCAGGGAGGGCCAGGTGCTGCTGCTTTTTAAAACAAGACACTATATACCATGGGGTGGTGGTCACCCATCACAATTAAGTGTTGGAATGTACCTTGTCCATTTTACCATAAATGCCATAGTGCAGGCGCTTGGGTTATTAAATGTAAGCTTTGCACCACTGAATCTGGGCAACCTGTCCTTTCAGAATGTGTTACAGGTGAGTGAATGCGGGTGGTAGGTGGAGACATCTCCTGACAAGGGCAGGTCTGTCTTTTGTTCCGCACACAGGTTCTGAGTCGTCTGGGGCAGGTGGCAAGGACAGTGTGGGCCGTAGGGAGGAGCGGGGCTCTGCTGGGACAGGCCCGTGTCCCTGCCTACGCCAAGTCGCAGGCCGCATGACCCAGGCCAGGCCATTTAACTTCACTGAGGCCTGAGAGACTGAACATCTTGGGGTTATTGAGTGAAAGTTAGGGAGAGGGAGCACCCCATCTGCGCACCAGAGATATGGTCAACTCCTTGAGCTCTGCCTCTGCTAATGGCACTGTTGGGGTGATTACTGACATAAGCGTGAGAGGCTTGACACCAGAACTGGGAGGCAGCCAAGCAGAATCCTCAGAGTGGCATTTCCGAAAATGTGTCTTAAAAACCCTGATGTCAGACCCTCCCTGGTGGCGCAATGGGATAAGACGCAGCACTGCAAGTGAAGCTGTTTCAGTGTGAGTTCGATCCCCGGCCCTGGAGGTGATCCACATGGTGTGGCAGACCTCTCCTGTCTCCCTGCTGCTCCTCTCAGCAGAGTACTTCGTTGATCTGCCCGTTCTGATCCCCATTCTGTCTCTGGTGAATCCTCTCACTGCCCCTGTACCTCTGACCTGTACCCCAGTTCTATATGAATAAATAATCTTAAAAAAAAAAACAAACAAACAGGTAAGCCTTTACCTAGACTTAAAATAAAATTAAAAACAAAACCCAAAAGACCTGATGCCACTGAGGTCTGGGGGTGAGGGGATGAAGGTGGAAGGGCTAATTTCTATATGAAAATGGTTCCTGACCTTTACCTACAAGAAACACTGAATGCTATTATATCCTCTGCTTGCGATTCCTGTCTACTAGCATATTCAAAACTCGAAAAAAACCTTGCTAGAAAAGGACAAGTTCAGTTTTTCTCAACTCTGTCTCCTTAACTCATTTAAACTCCAGATTCTTTTCTCCCACATGCCTGGGCAAGGTCCACCAAACTAGGGGACAGAAGGTGGCCAGAGGGTGGCTGGTATGAGGACCATGAAGGGGCCTTGAAGCTCTCAATGCTGAGCCTTTATTGTTTTTTGTATTCTCCAAAGCTTTAGTAGTGAATTCCCGTGATCAATGTTTTCTTACTACTGACAACTGTTTTAGCAACAGGATTAATGCCTGTGGTAGAAATTTTCTGCAACTTTCAGAATGAGAGTAACCTTCTTCCTAGGAGAATGTTGGGGTTTCATCTTCAGGACAACACCATTTCTACAGGCTGGAGCTTGCCTTATCCTGAAATCTGGACATAGACACACTTTCTGATCACCATCCACATGGTAACCTGAAGCCCAGCAAGGGTGGGCACTTTGGTCAAGGTCACAGACCTCTTTCCAACTCTTCACTGCTGGACATTAGATGGTGACATAAATAAGTGTGTTGAGGAGACAGTATTGACCTCTCTCTGACCACTGCTGCCCTTGCAATTAAACAGAAATGTTCACATAAATCAAATGGTCTTTCCATCTCCATCATCACTCATGGTGCATTCTGTCCAGGGAAGGTGGAATGGTGTTGCTCTCAGGATTGCAGTGAGCCACAAAGCCTGCTAAAGCTAACGAACCGTCACTTGAGCCAATTAATAGAGGAAGTAAGCTGTCTTTAATTAAGGCATCACGCATCCCTTGGGTTTTCTCTAACCCAAACCCAGGGGTATTAGGAAGCCCCTCTGGGCCCAATTGCCATGGAAAGTAGTAAACCAGCTCTTTCAAATGGACCTGGGTGGGTGGCAGGAAATCTGGGATCTAGTTTGCCCCCCCCCACTAACCTTGGGGACGTCCCATCATTTCTCTGGGTCTCAGTTTCTTCATCAATGAAGTCACCCTTGCCATCACTCACCCCTCAACTACATCGTCCTCAGCATCTGCTGCATGCTGAGCACTGTTGCCAGGTGCCATGGTCAAGAAGATCATTCAGGCCTCTGGTGGCTTGAGGTAAGACGTGTTCCATGACTGGGCCTACAGTGGCCCAGTGAGGTGAGTGATCTGCTCTTTTGGGGTTTGTGGGAGTATTTTCCAAGAAGGGGCCTGAACTGAGTTATGAAAAGGGCTAACTAATGAGATGAAGCAGGGCTGAGGTGGTTCTGGGCAACCCTTCTGATGGTCAGAGTCAAGAACCCGAAAGGTGCATGGAAACCAGGCTTTGCTTCGAGCAACTAGAGCAACAGCTCTGATAGCAGAGGTGGAGGAGGTAGATGGTGGACAGACAGTACGTCACCAGGTCACTCCAAGCCGTGCATGCAAAGTGAGGGAGTTTGGCTATTAAACGGGAAGTTATGGGACTAGTCAGCTCTAAAGCTACATGATTTGGGCAGTGAAGTTAGATCTGGGCAGTAAATCAGTGACATACAGGCAGCGTGACTCTGGACAAGTCCATTGCCTCATCCATGAAGCACCATTTATCTCGAAGGATTCAATGTTCTTTTGGTAGGTAAAGCCCTGGGTAGTGGAATTTAAGCTGTAAATCATGGTGTTAGGCCAGAAGAAAGAGTTCAAGCCAACAGTGTTGGGTGAGTGTGGGCTCACTGGCATGCTCAAACCAAAGAGAAATGCTGTTCGGATGGGCTGGGAGCTACGCTCCTCCATAATGATTTCCAAGAACACAGAAATGAAGCAGCGATCTTTGCTTCACCACACAATAGTCTACAAGGCACAATCATCCCCACCATTTCTTTTGATGCCACAACTGCCAGATAAGTAATTATCTCCACAATGCAAGAGAAACAGAGAGGGCAAGTGAGTTCCCCAAGTTAACACCAGAATAAGTACCAAACCTCATGCCATATCTCTTCATTCCTGGACCAGCAAGCGGCCCAGAAAAACCCAGCAAGTAGTGACTGTGCACAGAACAGTCAAGGTGTATTTGTCACAGCCTCAAGAACCAGGGTGAAACTTCTATTGGGTAGACTGAACTCTTCCTCACGAATATATATTTTTTGGTCTTCTTGTGTCTATGCCACCACTCATGATACCAACTCCCACACAGCCTCTGCATCCCTCACCTGTAGTTGCCCAAGTAGACCCCATCAGGGTTGAGCATCGGTGCAATCTTGAAGACCAGGTGCTCCCGTAGCACACGAGCAACGGGGTGCTGGCTTATGAGGAAGTCAATGATCCCTAGAGAAAGAGAAACATCTGGGTTAGCTTCAAAGTGCTCCAAGCAGGAGGAAACACATTTCCCCCCTCAGCTTGGAGAACAGCAATTGCTCGAGAAGAGATGTTTGACCTGCCTTGTCAGCAGCCAGAGGCATGAGGCCATGGGCTAGCTGCTGTGCAGTGAACTTCACAGATACTTTTCTATTGCCGAGAGACAGTTCAAGCCATATTATTGAAGGTCAAGGGCAGAAGGGAGAGAGAGCACTTCCTACTAATGAGCTCTGGGAGGCTTCAAGGAAAGAGCACCCTGGCGTTGTGCCTTGGAGACCCTGCGGGGTTTTGACCGAGTTGGGGCAAAAGCAGGGGACTCTGAAGAGTAAATGAAGAGCTTCTTTCAAATGGACACACTGCCAGCTGGACACTGAAACCTGATTCAACAGCTGTGGAGTTGGGAGCCTGAGGAATCTAAGTCCTCCTGTTCTCATGGGCACACCACAACACAGAGAGGAGAGGGGTTGGGTAAAAGTCCTGTGATGAGAGAGCTGTTTCTTCAAAGCCTGCCCACTCTGTTCCTTCCCCCACTTTGCAGGTGCTTTGTTCTGACTCTGGGGTGCATTGCTTTTCATAGGCACCAACATGACCTTGCCTCCAGGTCACCAAATCTACAAGAGGTGAATTCGCCAGAGTTCCCAGATTTCCTTCCTGAACCTCTGACTTCCCCCTCATCTCCATCCTTCCGCTTCTGTTCTGAGGCATCATCTCATGTGGCCTGGGCTGAGCTACTGCAGCCACCTCCGGAGAGTACCCTCCTCACTGCAGCCAGCACTTCCTCAAGTGCAAATCTGAACTGTCACCCTCCTCATTCATTTCCTCTGAGAGATAGGAGAGTACAGGGTCCTCCCCAAATGCAGCGAACAAGAGCTGGAACAAGCATCCAGGAGAAAGATGATTTTGAGCTCAGCCCTGAAAGATAAGTAGGCTTGGATGGGAGGAAGCAGCAGTAACTAAGGACACCCATGTGTGCAGCGGCAGGCACTGAGTGCTTGGAAAGAGACATAGCTGCAGAGAACATTCCAAAGCTGCTGTGACCAGCGAGGGACATCTCAGCATCCATTAGGCCAGGGCTGAGAGTCCACTGACAGCAAAAGCCAGTTGGACATCATTTACGTCGAGGCTGAGGCAGCAGCTGACCAGATGCCCTAATTTATTTGTTGGTTCTCATATGAAAGCTGCAGTTTGCCAGTAAACAGGCTGGGTAATGATGCCAAGCGCCCTTGTTAGGGACTAATAATTGCTTAATCTGTCCACTAATTGACCCAGCTCCGGGGGCAGCCCTCCATCAAAGAGCCAGCCTGCACTTGAGGCCTGGCCACGTTGCCTCTGAGAATGGCTTCTGGAAATGGAGAGGCTCATTGTGATCCATCCTCCTTCACAGACAAGCAGATTAATTGGGCTGCCAATTAGGCAGTTAATGAAAGGATGAGAGAAAACAAAGCCAGGCCAGAGGCTGCAACCACCCAGAGCTCCCTCTCCCAGCTCGAGTGCAGGGCAAGGAGAGAGATTTTAAGTTTAGACTCATCTCTTGGTTTGAGACCAGAGTTCAAGAGGAATCATTTCCACTGGTCAGGAGACTGGGAGATCTTTCACCTTTTACCTGGTGGGTGAGGAGAGCAGGGTAAGAAGAGACTATGAGGCGAAATACCAGAGAAAGTCAAGAGTGAAAAGAAGAGGTTGCCCCGACCACAGGTTAAAAGCATTGTTTGGGGAGAGGAGGCAGAAAGATATGGAGGGGACTGACTAGAAACCCTAATTGGTTGTTGGGTAGAGAAATTACTAGCTTTCTATATACAATCCATTGTTTACAGCTCGATATATAATACCTACTGGAAGACTGCTGAGTGACTGGGTTAGAACTCCTGAAAATTGTGATGTGCTGTGATAAACTCATTTAGACGAGAGGTTGACAGGCACAGGGATAGTGAGAAACAGAATTGGTTTTGAAAGTCAGAGTCCTGGTCAATACAATTTACAAAAGGTGACTTTGGGATGTGGGGACAGGACACCAGACTTACAGTCAGAAAACTGGGATTCTAGTTTCGCCTCATACACTGAGTGACTTTCAGAAAGACTCTGGCCCTATTCTCATCCTTATAATTAGGAGAGAGAACCCAGTAATTCCCCAGGGCTCATCCCACGCCGACAGTCTGTGGTTCTTCTCCCTTAAAGAACAAGAATCCTCATCTATTAAGTGAGGAGAACAATCTTCCTTCTTCTGGAGACACAACCAACCCCCTTAGTCACCTTCCCTTCAGGAAACGAGTGTATAGTCCCCTTCCTTCAAGCTGACTTAATGGGAAGACGGAAGGAGCAAGACAACAGGAGGAATGGCAGGGTAGAGGCTTGCGGACAAAGAAGCTTGACAGAGAATTTGGAATTAAAACTGTGCTTTGCTCTGGGTGGGCCGTACAGCAGGTGCCTAATAAATGCCCTAGTACTTTGGTCCCAGGAAGTCATTAGAACTTGAAAAACATATACGCTTATTGGAATTGATAATCCCCATTCCACAAACATCCACAGGGCTGGTGGGCCATCCACTTGGTAGTGTGAGCTGAGTGTGGCATTCTTGCCTCATGGGGGTGTGAGAAAAAAGCTGCTCCCCACTGTACCCACTGGCAAAGACTCAGGGGAACAGCTTGGGGAGCTGTGAGAACCTGGAGAGGAGTCCTGACCAGGCTGGGGGTGGGTGAGGAAGGGGTCAGGGGGCCAGACACTTAAAGGCTGAGTAGAGTGAATCAGAAGAAAGGGTGTTGGGAGAAGGGGTTCCAGGCAAGGGGTTCTACAGACTTTGGAGGTAAGAAAGAAAGGGATCTAGTTGGTATCAGAGAGCCATTCAATTTCAGGGGGCACAGCTTTATGATTAAAGACACAGACTCTGAAATGGGACTTTCTGGGTCTAACTAACAGTGTGGCCTTAACCTCTCAGCTCCTTGTTCCTTTGTCAGTTAAGAAAGAGTTAATATTGAGGGTTACTATGAGGATCATATAAGCCGAGTGCTGGGCACAAAGGAAGCATGCAGGTGTGGTCTGAGTCATTGCTCCCGCTCAGTCTGGAGAGGTGGAGATGGGCAGATGCTGGGAGACAAGTGAGAGAGGGAAACAAAATTTGCTTGTCCAATGGAAGCATGGGAAGGGTCTGAGGGGGCCATCACAAAGTACAGGGTAGTACCTGGGCTTCAGACAGTTCTCTCTGGCTGCAGCATGGAACATGGCTTGGGGTTTAGAGTAAAGATGATGGATGGTGGGGTATCCTACAAGAGGGATGGGGTGCAGTTGGAGGCAGAGTCTGCTGATATAAGAGCCTTGACACAGTGGAGACCTGCCTGTGTTCTGCAGTGACCAAGGCCCAGAAGGTTACACAGTGCTGTGGTGGGGGGATGTATGTGGCTAGCTCGTGAGGCTGAAAACGAGGCTATTTGCCTGCCATTCCCAAGAGCTCAGAGCTCTTCACTGAGGTCACACAGTCTTAGGGAAAGAGATGCCCAAAATGACTGAGATTAAGTTTCTGGCCTCTGGCACAATGTACTCTCCAAATGGAAGCTGAATTCAGTTATAGAAAACAAGGAACGTCACATTTCCCATACCTGTGAGTTTAGGAAATTAAGGCTTGTACCTGCTGTTCAAGACTGTCTTCCCTGCCAGGAGGGCAAAGCCAGGTCTACCTCCTTGCCACTATTTTCATAATGCCTAGCTCAGTGCTAGCTCAGGGAAATTCCTCAACAATACTTGTAATATTAATGAATAATGACAGGCCAGGGATGGGCCCTGTGTGTTCCTGAGCTGGAGTGAGTTGTGACTCCATTGGCTTCATTTTACAGACAGGCAAACAAAGGCAGGGAGCTGACCACACTTGCTAGGGGCCGAGATTGCATTCAGAGCCAATTCTAGTGGCTTCGAAATAGCATCCTTTTTATTAAGGCAAGATGGGAAGAGCCAGGAGTCTAATTGCATGTGATTTGCAGAATGATTTGCATATATGCCTGCATAATTTTCTCTCTAGAGAGCTCTGTGTAAAGTTTATTGTTGCTATTCTCTGCCAAGAGGCAGCATGCTCTAGTGGGAACAGCGCAGGCTTGAAGCAAGAGAGCTGAGGGTCTCTGCCGGGCCCAGAATGTGAGTCACATGATAGCCGCTACTCAAAGCTTCCCTGACTGGGCACCTGGCCTCTGTCTGCCGTCAGTCAAGTCAGGGACCCCAAATTAGGGGATCATAAGGAGAAGATCCTGAAGAACCTGAAGCTCAGAGCAGAAATTCTCACCCTCCCAACCCCCAAGTTTTGCCCATTTCACAGATGAAAAGATTAAGGAAGTGAGTGAGCCCCTCACGACTCCCTAGCAGCTCCAGGGTGATGCTCATAATGGGAGGCTGTTAGCCCTCTCCATAGAGAAGTCAGAGAGCAAGTGAGAGATAGAAGTGGGGCGAAGGAAATGGGGGAGGGATGGTACCAAGGGACAAAGTCACTATTATGCTGTCGGGGAAGGGAATATCGGATATGATTGGTCCTGGAGGTTCTGCTAAGTGAATGAGTGGTGGCGATATGCATGTACGCATGTGCGTGCGTGTGTGTGTGTGTGTGTGTGCATGTGTGTGTTCTTCTCCCTGCTCCTTGACTCCCACCGTCATCCCTGAGCACTGGACTCCCTGAGCAAAAACCCTTCTATCACAGTCTCGACGGCAGTGTGCATGGGGGGCGGAGCAGAGGGCTCACTGAATCCCCCAGCAGCTCCCAGAGCGCTACCCTGCTGCCCACATTGTGCAGGGGAGGAATCAGGCTGTGACAGCCCTGGCCGTGCCTGGGGTGCCCAGCTGGGGGCAGAAGTGACAGGCTCAATCAAACTGCATGAATGAGGAGGCTCCAGCTAGGACTCAGCAGGTTGCTCAGGGTGCTGCTGAGGGTGGGGAGGCGTGCAGCTGAGGAGTCACACAGCCAGGCTTGGACCCATACCCAGCACCTGGAAAGTGGTGTGCTACCCCCCCCACCCTGTCCCCTATAACACTTCTGTGCCTTCTGTATCACAGACACCACCCTCATTCTTACAGTTATTAAATCGTTTACTATTTACAGCAGCCTTATGAGACAGGATTCTGATTCTGATCTCCCTTTTGAAACAAAGGACCCAAGGCGTACACGGAAAGGTTATGGAACTTTCCCAAGGTCACACTGGAGGAAGGGGAGGAGCTGGGATCCAGCCCCAGGCAGTCCTGCTCCAGAGACCTAGCTCGCACGCATTCTGCTGCAGGCCTCACAGGGTGTCTTGGCCTGTTCACAATGTAGCTGAGGCCCAGGAGGGTTGGTCCTCACGGAGACCAGGATCTGGACTTGGGGCAGCAGAGGGAGACTGACAACCTACTGCCCCTCCACCAAGCAGAGCCTGAAGAAGCCAAAGCCTCCCACCCCCAATGCGGCCCCTTCCAGAGCTTTGTGATGACACGACTCTCTCTACTCCCAGCAGCAGGTGCATCAGCAGCTCGGCCGGGAACGCTGTGGTCCCAGCCAGATGGGGAGGGCCAGGCCCCACATGTCTGTTCCCAGCTCAAGGTCAGTGAGCCAGAAATGGAGAAGAGTTAACAGAACCAATGTTGTCAGCCATTGTCCTTCCAGGCTTTGGACCTTCCTGCCCTCCCCAGAACAGGGTGGGTGGGGGGCAAGTTGAAGTCTGGGCCACAGCAGAAAGCGCAGCTGAGTGCAGCCTGGGGGGCTGTGGTCGAGCGCAGGCAGCTGAGGCATCCTTAGGAAGCAGTGTATCTCCGTGCTCATTGGTAAAATGGGGAAACGATACCCATCTCTATTGCCTTGAGGAAGGGTGGATTGTCTGTCTTAAGGGACTATACCAGAGGCAGGGAGAAAGGAGGACAGGACTGGCCCCCGGGTGACTGCCGCTGTGAGGCAGCCGTGTGCCTTTGGATGAGCCACTAGTCTGAGTCCCACATCCTCATCTGTAAAACGCACATTAATTGCTCTGGGGTGGCTGGAGCACTATTTTCTTCCAAGCGTGAAGTCTGACCTAGGATTTTCTATCCCTGAATGGGGCAAAAGAGTATGTACAGTCTTGGGAGCCAGCCAGACCCAGATTCAAAACCTCTATCTGCTATTTACTGGCTGTGTGACCTTGAGGCTCCTCTTTCTGAATTCAGAGTTAGTAGCCCAGAGCCAACACAGCGTTTATCTCTCACACCAGCCCCATGAGATGAAAAGATAATGCCCCTTTTATAGATGTAGAAAATGACACTTGAAGATCCAGCTCTTGGCCTCAAATAGCTCATGGTTTAAAGGGACAGAAACCAACATAAATCAAATAGGCGATAAAGATCAGCTCCAGGTAAGCCCCAGCGCAGGTACAGAGCAGGGGGCTGGAAGGAGTAGGCTGGAACTTACATGGGGTGACTGGAAATAAACTTTGAGAATGGGAAGTGTTTGCCAGGTACAAAGGGTGTGCAAGATGTCCTAGGCAGGAGAGCAGCAGGTGCAACGGCCTGGTGGTAGAGAGAAGATTGTCTGCTTAGGCATTAAGTTTTGCAAAGCTGAGGCCAGAGAACCTGGCAAGAACCAGATCATGGAGAGTTTGAATGTCATGTCAAGGAGTTTGGAGTTGATCTTGAGAAGGTAGTGGGAAGGCATTAAAGTACTCTGCCAAGGAGCAAACATTGATTGAAAGCCTGCAGGACAGCATGGAGTCTGTCAACTCAGCACCATCCAAATTCCTTTTTTGGAAAAACAGGCTCAAGAGAGAGAGCACCTGAGACAGATTCAGCATCTACGCATGGGCCCTTGTCTGTAAAATGGGATGGTGACTCTGTCCTCTGTCTACTGCCCACCGAAGAGGCGGGCGCAGGAATTTGAACTTGCAGGGATAACGCTATCAGCAGTAAGACTGCTGTATTTTTACAAACAAGGACAAAATAGGTGCCTCTAATCAGCTGGGGAACAGGTTGGTTGCCAAGTTTAGTAACTGACAGATGGCTGCAAGGGGTTTGTAAAACCAGGAGGGACCTAGGAAAGGTAATTGCAAGGACAATGCTGGGGACAAAGAGACTGGAAGTGAGAATGCCAAGGAGTATAAGTTAAGATGGCTGGGGTGAGGAGTTGTGCACTAGGAATTATCTTTGGGTAATCCCTTCTTATGCCTGAAGCACAATATCCTTGTCTAAAACAAGGGGGAGGCAGTTGTGTCAAATCATAGCACTGGAAGAATATGAGTGTGAAAAATACCTGCATATTTATTTGCTTATTGCCATGTTGATTTGCAGATCACCGATCTGCCTCTCCATCCCCAATTCTGTGGGGGAGGATGTGATGTCTGTTGAGGGTCTGTTGTGGGCTAGGCACAGAACTGGGTGTTTGCTTGTATTCATCTCCTGCCAGTTTCATAACAGTTTCTCCTGCCTTTTTCGATAGACATTGCTACCCTGATTTATTTTACATCTGAGGAAAATGAAGTCACACTGCTAGGAAGTGGCAGAGCCCATATTTGACCTCTGAATTGTCTTACTACAAATCACCTGTACCATCATGTTGCCTCCCTCAAGGTATATAAACTCTGTGGGTTTTTTCAAGTACTTTTGACCTCATGGTCATTTTGAGGTTAAAATCAGTGAATAGATAATTCTATTCCTTACTTTCCCAGTTCACTGCACTTCTACCAACATACACACTAACCTGGGCCAAGTTTCTTGTTATAAGCCACTACAGACAAGTAAAACAGAGGTAGTGAAAGTAGGTGACTATGGTTTATCCTCAGTCCCACCTACCTATAGGTTCATCCATCCATCCATTCATCCACTCACCCATCCACCTATCCATATATCCTAACAGACATGTAGTCAATAAATACTTCTTGAACCTAATCTTAATGGAGATCAGACATAGGGTTTTTAAAGAAGTAAAACAAAGTCCTATCAAGATAATGACTTTCCTGTGACCACACTATTCCAGAGACTGTCATATCACAGTGTTCCAGTTGGGTGAGGTGTGGGATAGCATAGGATATTCTGCAACTCACCTTGGCATACAAATGAAGATGGTGTTTCTCCTGGGTGGACCCTTCCTGTGATGAATACCACCTTTTGCTCTGCTCCTTCCCGAAGGTTGTCTGTAAAATAAAATGGAAGAATATTACTACAGAAGACAGGCAAAACTAAGAGAAGGGGTTGATAATATGGTAGAGGGAAGGGAGGGAATGGGTTGCATGCTTTACATTTACTTCTTAAATTGTTGGGTTACAAATGTTAAGGCTCAATCATAGCTGACTGATTAAATTATATCCTAGCTACCCAATATATAATGGCAATGTTCCCATTCCTTGTGCAACTGGTCACAATAGTTTAATCAACTGAAAAAGTCATAAAAGTGAAAAATATAAGAGTGAAGTAAAATCCCAGATCACTGACCATGGATCTAGGCAAGTGTGTATATCCTTTCTGACTTTCCATCTGCTGAATTCTAAACATAAATAGTAATATCTACTTCATAGTAATGATTTTAAAAGCTTACATATTACATAGTACACAGTAAACATGCTGTAAATGATGGAGTAATGAGCGTAGCTATTTATTGTAATAATAGTAATACTATCAGTTTCCATTTAATTAGCACCGTTATGTGTCAGGTACATTATACATATTATTTATAATACTGAAACATGCACAGTTAATATTTTTTATAGAATCAGAAACTGAGGCCCAGTGAGGTAACATAATGTGTTCTCTTGAATGTGCTCACATGTCACATAGATGGGAGCAGATCTGAGAATAGAACTCAAACCTTTGTTGGGTCTTGATGAAGTACCAGGGACCAGATTTCTCTTTCACTTTACACAACTAGGAAATTGGACAACATATGCAAAAAAGCTGCTTTCAGACACTGGACAGAGGCAATGCAAGACTAGTCTGTGAAAAGGGGGGAAACAAAGGAATATGCTCTGTGATTGTCATGGCTTTATGCCTAGGGGCCCATTCTAGACCAAAGACCAGAGAAGGGTATCTGAGTAAAATATGGAAGTCACTGAGACTGGAGTTTAGAGAATCAGAAGTAAGTGGCAGTTGTAGAAAATTGTATGTTCCAAAGTAGAGGGAGTTCTGTAGAAAATAACTCCAGAAATCTATAAGAGTCTTTATAAGTCTGTCTTCCACACAAGATGTACACAGATGTATGCCCCAAGATGTCTCCATAATTTCAGGAAAAGGTGGCCACAGGGCTGTGAACTGCACAGGGCTCATACAGGGCTGGCAATTATTAGAATTCCAAGTTTTAAGTCATCGCTAATAATTCAGGGATTCAGTATAGAAGCCAAAAGGGTTATATCTTAGTTGTAAGGCTAAACTATTCTAAATTCAGTCTAACAAATTTTCAAAAGAATAAACTAAATAAAATAAACATTACTGCCTGGTATATACATTTCAACATTCATTAAAGGAAAATAACAAAATCCAGACACACAACAATGTATATAACTCATAATCTTCAACATTCAATAAAAAGTACTAGATACACAAAGAATTAAGAAACAGGAATCAGAGTCTAAGTTCTTGCTGCCTCTAAAAAAGTCTCACTTATATAATAAAATACAGGTATTATGCACAAATTGTATTAGACAAAAGCAATAGTAGTCAAAAGTGTCATATTTAGAACAAAGGAGCCAGAGAAGGAAAGTTAGCCAGCAGAAAAGGAAGTATTGATTGACACAGAACAAACAATTACCTGAAGGAAATTCAGAAACTCAGATTAAAGGATTATATCTATACTAGAAAATTTTCTGGAGGGAAGGAAGTATTTAGAAATAATTAATAAGCTTTCAGTTCAGAAATGCCAGAGATAGTTCATTTTGATTATGGTCCATGGTCCCAACAGTTAATGGATCAACGTAAAAGACTAAAATAAAAATCAATGACTTTATTAAACCTAGTTCTAAAGACTTAGAACTTACTGGGACAATTGGAATGAGCAATGGGGATGAGGTGACTGCTTCCCTAATATGGTGCCTCTGAGAGTCAGCAAATATGCATTGGAATCAAAATGCAGTCTTGAGAACTGACTCAGTGCTCAGCTTTATGCGAGAGACCTTCAGAACAAAGAGCAAGGGAAGTTCACTTACTCTAAAGAAGTATATGGTTTAAAAGAAGAGTTAGACATTGAAATGTTTCCTGGGTTGAATAGGAATTCCTCAAGGGAGAAAGCATATCTTTCATGGTATAATTTTAATAACTTTCCCAGGACCCCTGAAAGGAGTAGGTCCTCTGGAACTGACTTACAAATGAAGAAGTTAAAAATATTCATGTAGGTCATGGTTTATACAGAAACTTATGCACAGGTTATCTTAGTTAATCTATGCCATGCCTCTGTGGGTGCACATTAACTCCCTTTTACAAGTGAGGGAACTGAGGCTCACAGACAGAGGGACAACCCCCAGCTCCTAGTCCAGTGTTTCATTTAAAACCCTGTCTCCCTGGATCCCCTAACAACAATATAAGATTATGAACCTGCTCTTCCACCCCACTGTACACTAGAGAGTCTGGTTTCATCCATTATTGCTGTAGGACGTTGTGCCACTCTCTTAGTATTTGTATTGCTGTATCATTTAAAAATCAAAAACCAAAATGACACCAAACCCTTTGTAAGAACACTGTTAACATTGACCCATCCTTTCCAGCAGTCCAGAAATGATAAATGGCATCACCAAGGCCCTTTGTGAAAGCTACCTTTATGGATGTCTCTCCTGACCCGGTACCAACTCAATTGCATTCAGCATTTCTGCTGACCACAGGGAAATGCAAAATGGGCATTCTATTTGCTCGCTAATTTTACTGAGCCCCTGCGTCTTCATAAAATGATAACGTGGGGCTAATAAAAATCAAGCATCTCGGGTGCTAATATAAGCAAATGTTGATGTAGGCAGGTAACAAATTGCTTTGTCATTTAGGAGGCCGTAAAAGAGCATTATAATCATCTTTAGGCAAAATGGATGGGTCGCCTTTGCTTAGCTTTTAGCTTTCATTTGCAAAATCAATTTAAGGTAATGTAGCAGCTCTGAGGTGGTGTGACATGGGACACCATCCTCCCCCCTATCACTGAATCCCCAGACTCATACACAGCCAATTAAACATATTCCTGGTGAAAGAATCAAGGATAGTGAGAAAGTATGTTTGAACAAAGCCAAAAGAAAAGAAGCTGAACAACCAGACCAAGAACAATATTTAAAGGATGGTAAAACTGGAAGCTCATGGACGGTGACATTCAAGGACACGGGGCATATTCAAATTGAAGTGGGGCAGCCATACTAATCTCCCCAGGTGAAAAGGTTTTTGAAGAAAAAAGTGCAGTGTATAGTTCAACAAATAACACACACACGCAAAGGCACCCGTGTGTTAAATATATACCTCTACCATCTGCTGTTTCCTTATTCATGAAGTCGTTACTGGATATCTATTAGGTGGCTAGGCACTATTATTATTTTCATTTCACAGAAAACCAAAGCCAAGAGACGCTAAGTTACGTACCCTAGTTCTTTCAGCTAATGACTGGCAAGTCCAGAGAACTCACTGAGGCAGTCTGACTCCGGAATCTGTGCTCATACCCTCTGTGCTATTCTGGGAAAACACTATTATCCAGTTATGATAAGAATTCAGTAATACTTATTCAGAACGTACTCCATGCCAGGCACTTTACACATCATTGCTTAAAATGTTATGGAAATCCAACAAGACAGCTACTAATCTTACTCCCACTTTATAGGTTAGGAAATTGAGATCCAGAAAGTTTAAGTGATTTGTCTAAACCTGTATAAGTAGCAAATACGGAAACCAGAATTAAACGTACGTCTTTATGACTCTCACAAAGAGATTTATGTTTTCAACCACTGTGTCATATCACAATGGGGAATAATTAGGGTCCCTGTGGTAGTTTTAACAGTACACCCACAGATTCCTTGCTAATATCTTCCCTTCAAACTAATGCATTAAAATAAATGAGTAAACTTTTAGACTATAAGGCCAATTAGAAGAAAACGGGAAGAAGGAGTGAGTAAACCAGGTAAAAGTGTCAGTTGTATGGTGAAGAATAGACTTTTGGAGGGGAACCAGTGTAGTATATAGACACACTGTTTTTTAATTATGCACACCTGAAACATAAAATGCTTTAATGAAATGTTACTTCAAAGGAAAGGATGGAGAAAAAGAAAAGAGTAAGGAAGAAAGGGAGAATGGAAGGGAAGGTAGAGATGAACTCCCTGCTCTTTCAGAGCGAGGCTTGCTCTAACGATAGAACACCATAGAAGTGATGGTATCTCACATTTGAGAATAATCTATGAAAAGACCTTGACCTGTGTCTTAGGTGTACTCCTTTCTCTGCTCAGTCACTCACTCTGGGGGCGTCCACTAGCCATGCCTTGGAGACATCCAGGTAGCTTGTGAGAGACTGTCTGATAAAGACCTGAAGTTTCTAGACTACAGCTAGGAGGAAGTGAGGCTTGCCAACACCACTGTGAGCATGCTTAGAAGGAGGCCCTCCTGTTCCAGGTGACTATGGCCTTGGCCCACAACTTGGGGCAGAATCACCTGTTGTTCATAAGGCCTAACCCAGAGGAACTGAGCAATAATAAATGTTTGTTGTTTTAAGATGTCAAATTCTAGAGAAATTTTTTAGGCAACAAAAGATAATGAATTACTCCCCCAGGGTAACTACATCCCCAGAGCTAACTACACCTTCCCTAGTTAATCCAAGAATTTAAGAAACATTGTGTCACTCAGATTGAATGAGTATCTGAATCATAACCTTGATGGGGGAAGGTACTCAATGGACCTGGCCAATTTTCAGTTTCTGTAGTTGGTGGAGGTCCTAGAGGATGCCAAATGGCCCCGAAGAACACTAACCAGGCCCTCCCCTCTGGGCACAGAATCTTCCAGAAGCTCATATTGTCAGATTTGCTTCCCTGTCTGTTTTTCCAATAATGCTCACAATACCTTCTCATGGTGAATGAGCTGCTCTATGAAAGAAGAGGGTGGTGAAGCGGAATTTGGAACACACTGTAGGGGACAATTTTTTTTTTTTAATATTTAATTCTTTTTCACTTTCTTGACATCATGATCTCTGGAGTCA